GAGTTGGGAGTCGAATAAGACTCGAATTTGAAAACAAAACACATATTTGAACTCGTGGGGCTATGGGTAGTCAAGATCTACCTTTGGACCCAGGTTTTGACCAAGCGGGCTCGGGGTTGACTTTTGTTGACTTTTTAGAAATTGAATAAAAATCATAGCTTTATTAATTAAAATTATTTTCTCTTGCATCGTGTGGTGTATTCAAGTCGTCATTGGCTAGATTGAGTCGAGCAGAGGCGAATTTGTAGAGAAAAAGGCTAAGTTGAGTGTTGAGTTAGCCGGATCGAGGTAAGTATTTTGCCTAGCTTTGTTGATGGAATTTTTCCTCCTATTTGTCATTGTTTGCCACATGCGGGGGTGATGCATATATGAGGTGACAAGCGTATATGTATGTGTCAGGGTTAATCATGCTCGGGGGTGGATTATATTATATTTATGTTTGTAGAATTTTGTGACATTCTGCTTAATGCCTTATTTGACTCTTAGATACTAAGGACATAATATTAAATGACAGATATCAAGACTTAATTTGTTATAACTTGATCAAACTTGATAGAAATTGTAAGAATACATTGATGTGTCTAATTCGGTCATCTCTATGCGAAATCATTACTACATTACTACAACCAAATTTCTTGAGATGCTAGGCTCTATACCTGTGTTGTGGATCATTTATGAAATTCGTGGAAGTATTTGAATAATACGATTCTTGAGGGTTGTTGAACCATTGTTGATTTGGAAAGTTGTGGTTTGGAATGTGTTTGGAATATCCGTTTAAGCACTCTCCTTGATGTTATTTGTGCTTCCTGCCTTATTTGTCATTGATACTCATATGCTTGGTAAGAAAGAGTTTAAAGCACGAAGGGTAATGCCGTGCCATTATTTATACATTATCATGTGAGGGAGAGTGTAAAGCACGAAGGGTGATTCCGTGTCATATCATTGAGAGTAAAAGCACGAAGGGTGATGTCGTGCCATATTATTGAGAGTAAAAGCACGAAGGGTGATGTCGTGCCACATTATTGAGAGTAAAAGCATGAAGGGTGATGTCATGCCATATCATTTGAGAGTAAAAACACGAAGGTTGATGCCGTGCCATTTCATTTGTATTGTTATGTTTGTATGTTATGGTGAGGCCATGGCACGGAGGGTGTTTCCGTGAAGGTGAGGACGAGGGACATGCATTTTGATGTGATATCTGTTTCCCGTGTATACGGTTGTGCCCTTACCTTGAGCTGTTATTGTTGTATTTATATATTTAGGGTGACTTGTTGTTATTGTCCTGTACTTGACCTTTATCTCGATTGTTGTTGCACTGTCCATATCTTTTACTTGCTTAACTTACAATTACCATGTCAATTTCTGTGTTTATATTATATGTTGTATCTATTCTGTTGCACTTCAGTATAAGCCTTCCACTATGCTAGCCATTCATGCCCTTACTTGTTAATTTGTAAAGAACATGTGTTTTACTCTTAATTGTTATATTTGTACTTAGGCCTCCAACATGCTAGTTAATTGAAGTTGATTTTCCTGTTTTTCAATTGTTGTGGTTACTCACGTGCTTTCCTCTTAGTCCTTTACTGTGACCCACATGTGTAACCTTTTCCACGGTTGCTACTTACGTATTTCATACTTAGAAGTTCCTATTATTGTGTTATTGTGATATGGTTGGTTCTGTTATACGATCACTTGGGAAAGATGAGTTGAACGCACGAAGGGTGTTGTCGTGCTAATTGAATTGTTACATAATTTCATTTATACATGGTGAGGATGAGATAAAAGCACGAAGGGTGTTACCTTGCCATGTGATTTGACATTTTGACATTTTTGACATATATCTCATACCACGAAAGATTGTAACTATTCTATTGTGGTTCTTACAGTATTCATTATCTGACTCGACGGGTTGTATTTGATACTTTTTTCCATTATACTTTGAACTGCTTTATCGTTTATCTAATGTACAAGTTATTTAAATAAGAATCTTTTTAACTAAAAGTCTCGTCACTACTTCGACGAGGTTAGACAAAATACTTATCAGTACATGAGGTCGGTTGTACTGATACTACACTTCTGCACGTCCCGTGCAGATTTTGGAACGGAGTTGCTGGTGACGCCGGGTGCTGATTCAGAAGATGTTCTTGCGTTTGGATATAGCTGCCACTTGTCCTTGGTAGTTTAGATTATTGCTAATCTGTTTATGTAATCTTCAAACAGAACATGTATTTATTTGTATCAGTTTTGAAGTTCCAAATCTTAGAAGCTCGTACTACCTGGTCTTGGTAAATTTGTAAATGTCCAATTATTTATTTTTTATCCTCTTATAATCTCAGTTGGGTGGTATTTTCTGTTAGTTGGCTTACCTAGCGGGTTGAGTTAGGGTGCCATCACGACTTGTGGTTTTTAGGTCGTGACAACCCCAAAGGAGTAGAGAGGCTATTTCTGAAAGACCCTCGGCTCAAGAGAATAAAAAGACAAAAGGAGACAATATTAGTTTCACTACAGAGATCATAGAAAAAAATAGAATCATAAAATGCAGAAGAAAAATGCAAAGCAAAATCGATAGCTAGTAAATAGGTCCTACACCGAAAAGAGAAAATAGTAAGACACGACATTGCCACTAGTTATCTTAGACAAAAACCTTACCAGACTAGGCTCACAAAGATATAAAGTAAGGCAAGACTAAATTACCTTCTAACCTACAACCGTAATACTCGACCTCCACAACTTTCTGGGGCACTCTCCATTGTGTATTCTGATCCTCTTGTATTTTGTTCACCATCTGGATAACTCTTGCATCTGGTTGATCATGTAACCATATCTTAATAGTACATACAATTTTGTGTTATTTCTTCTAATCCTTTTTCTTCTTCTTTTTAACCCTTCACTTTTAGGTTGGAATTTAGTAAGAATTCCTCTATATAATAGGAAGATTAGGTTAATATTTGGGGATAACTTTTCATAAGTTCTTTTTATCAGGATTCAGGATAAAACCAAAATTCTAATGTGGCTTGAAAAATTTAAATCTTTAAAAGGGAATCAGACTCTATTCCCTGTCCATCAAGTCTATTTAATTATTATCCAATTAAGAATTTGTTGAAGTTGCTATTCAAAATACTAAATCAGAAGGGCACCCATTTCCAAAAAATTATATCCTATGTTTTTCACTTTCTTTAGGTAGGAGTAATAATTAGGACAACCCTAGTTGGATAGAATATATCTGGAGGGCATTATTCTACAAATCATACTTCTGGACAGAAGGCATCAGAAAGCATCGAGTCATAAACTATCCCTTTAATTAATGTGGACCAAAGCTTGTAGGCCTCATTAAAAAGAGAAAGGTAGGAAGACAAAAAAAAATAAGTAATGTTAGGCTAGAAACCCGTGTTTTAGCCATAGTATTACATTTCAATTACTATATTTTAACATATGTTTAAGCTTAAATGATAGTGAATTACATTTAGTACGTGTTTTATGCCTTGCAGGAAGTGATCCTGAGCTCAAGAGTTAATTTGGAGCTAAATTGATCAATCCGGAGCTTTGAAGTCTGAGTAAAAGCCCAATATATTAAGTCGGGATCGTGTTCGAAGGTCGTGTACCAAGTCTGGATGTTAAAAGAGGACGAAATAAGTTCACTCTGAGGAAATTGCACTGTCGCGCCGCATGGGGAGCCGCAAGGCGCAGCGCAGCAGTACAAAAGTGGGCCTGACAAGAAAAGTGAGAAGCTGCTGATAAAGGCCATTAGCGCGCCACATGGTGCGGCGCAGCAGTACAAATTTTACAGAGCCAAGTCTTATTTCGCACAGGAAAGGGTGTTTCGTCTAGGCCCAACCCTACTTGGTATAAATACATATTAAAATGCTATTTTGAGGACTTTTGACATATCTTAGACCTAGGGAGACTATTTTGGAAGGGAGAAAACGTTTGGAGCAATTTCCGGAGGAGATTGGCATCGAATTCTTCATTCCTTCATCTTTGCTTTGTAATTTAATTATGCAAATTATTTGGGAAATTGTTATTATGAGTATGAGTAGCTAAATTCCTAGTCTAGGGTTTTGATAGAACCTGTTGAAGGATGATTTTCTCGTTATGTTAATATAAATTTGTCATAGTATTATCTCTATTTGTTCAACTACATGCTTATTGCTATTGATTGAAGGGCCCTCATTTAACTGTTCCTATTTAGTGTGGATTACTTAGGAGAGAGTTCATATTTAGGTAGTTGTTGAACATCATCACTCCTAACGTATATGAGGGATCAATACGAAGGGTTTAAAGGTGGGATTAGGGATAACGAAACCTTGAGTGCATCTAAGTGAGATGTACTTAAAAGCTAGCTAGCGTAATTCGGGAGAATATATCTAGTATATTGTTGTAATTACTCGGGAGAGAGTTACGACAGTCAGAGTGCTCATGATCGATAGAGAAGACTTAGGCGAATTTATAGCAAACATAGCGGAAAAGATTTCGACAACAGAGAAAATCAGAACCTTAGATCCTTCAAATTCTTGTTTACAAACCGTTCATAGTTAGCTCTTAATTACTGCATTTTTATTTCATAATATTCAGTTAGTAAACATCCACTCTATTACTTAAAAATATCTCTGAAGATTGAACACGTGAATTTCTGTGAGTCCAATAGCTGTGATTGATAGGTTAATTCCCTGTGGGATTCGACTTCGAATTTGTTAACCGGAATATATATGCAGCAATCGCTTTGTCATTTTTATAAGGCATAGTTGGGCGTGATCAATAAGGCTCATGACATCAATAATTCAACATAATATATAGGAACTCGGTTCTTTCATAGCCACTTATCAAATATGAAAAAGAATAATATTAACCTAGTAAACAGAATGAGTAAAAACAATGATATCCAAGAAAAAAGATCAATAGATCTACCACATAAAACAAGCCACTCAAATTTATAAAGAATAAATGCAAAAAGAAAAGATAACACCAACTACGTACAGCCAGTTTGCACCGACAGCATGCAATCAACTGAATCCAACATTTTTTAAACGGATAAATTGATAGTACATAATTAATTAAAAGAATTACTAGAACGTTAACAAATTGTTTAAATTTTGAATACCTGACTATTCATTTACAACAGAAGAAGCAAGCTGAATAAAAATATTAGGGGAAGCCCAACAGAACAACAATGAAGCTGCTGTGCACTTGATTTACCTGAACCATCCACTTTCACTGTACTATTTTCCACAGTAAAATTATGCCTCTTAGTATGCCAAAGAATGACCTTGTACCTGACTCTAGTAGCTATATCCACCCTGAAAACCACTTTTGACCCATTTGAAACCATCTTTAAAGCATCATTCCAAGGCATTTTCTGAGTTTCCAGCATACCCTTTTTATGTGCTTTCTTGTCATGACCTTGGTAAAAACCAGGTACTGTATAATTACCTATAGGAAAACTTGTATTTGTACCATAGTAAAAACTAAGTTTAATGTCATCGTAGCGAACACCTTTGTCCTTCATCTTGTTGTTCAAATTGAGCTGAAAGGAAAGTGTATGATTGGATCTTGTGGAGTTGGAGTTATCAGATTTGTTAAGGGCAGGTAAGTAAAAATTTTCTAAAGAGCAAGATGGTTTTGTGGTTCTTAGACTTAGCCAAATGAAAAGAGCTGTTAAGCCTGCTGTTAATATGAATTGGACGCACTTAAAGCAGCATGTATTATTGGATCCATAGTCTGACATGTTGAAAAAAAATTGGTTTTTCAAGAATCTGAAAAATAGGAAAAGAGATGAGAAGGGGTAGATCAAAATTGAGACTTGATCAATATTGTTTGGGAAAAAGAAAATCTTGGGTTTATATAAAAAGATCTATAGGACAACTATAGTTCTGGCCCTGTCTTTTTTGCTTTTTCTTTTTCTTTCTGCTTTGAGGAAGTGCTAGTAAATGAGTATGTACCATGTAAGCAGCAGCAGCCCTATGAATTTCTGGTAATTGGGTAAGTGAGCACCAATTAATTTCTTGGTGACCTTCAAGTCTTCAAGTCAATGACAAGGGGTCAAGCTGCAAACTAGCCAATAAAAAGGAGTCTACGTGGCCAGTTTGTGTGTGTTAGGGGAGGAGTTTCTTCGAATGATTATAATATTTAAAAAGAAAAAAAATATTTATATAATTATAAAAGTTTATCATTTAGCATAAAGTGAGAACTTCGTAATTTTATTAGTTTCTAAAATAGAAATTGGATTTTTTTGGAATAGACAAATAAAAAAAATAATGCCTTAAAAATAGAATAGATAGAGAGAGTATATTTATTTGATAGTGTAAATTCTTTTACGCTATCTATGTAATTAGACGTGTTATTTTTTGTCAAAAATATTCATTTCTTATTCAAGGTTATGGTTAGTCAATTTTCACGGTTGCTATACCAAATTTGATATTAAGAATTATCTATTACTTTAGATAAAGCTAACGTGATAGTGTAATACATTTTATTTACGGTGCACCAAAATATAAACTCTTTATCTGCATGACGGTTGGTCAATTATGGCTGTATATTTGTCTACATTTTTCTTGTGTAATAATCAGGGGCGGCCAGACGAATTTTGTGGCCTAAAGCCAAATTTTATGAGGGGTCTTAACTTTTTAATTTATTTGACTTCTATTTTTTTTAGCTTTTCTTAGATACAAAGTTATTAATAATTTTCTTATAATCAATAACTCCTAATAAGTATTTCTCAATTGACAATATAGCTAATCTATTTGACATTTTTTTGTAACGTTGTTGTTCTTAGATAAGATTTAATCAATTTTAATTTTGAAAACTTATTTCCGCTGAAGCAACGGTAACATGAGTTATGAATATTATTCCATACACAATTTAGGCATTTGGAAAAGAATTAAATCTTTTTACTAGATTAAGTGTTTCAGTTAAACTGTTATCTTTTAATTGTACTATTTTTCTTAATACTTTTAATTCAGAAAATAAATCTAAACCATCAATATCGAACTGATTATTATGTTTTAAGGAACATTCGAGATTAAGGCAATATTTTTTTTAAAATTTCTAACATCTAGTGACCCTAATTTTTACTGCCAAATAGAAAATCAAAGATATTTTCATATGTTTCGAGTTGTTCAAATCTATTTTGAAGTGAAAAAATAGTCATGTCTATTATGTATAAAAGTAATCAACTCTAAAGGACTATTCAAAAGATTTTGAAATTTCATTATCAGCATTCACATCAAATTTTTACTTCCTATATATCACACATTTTTTACGAAATTCGGGTTCGATATTCATTTCCTTAATATAAATCATAGTAGTTGCAAATCTTTCTTCTCTATATTTGTTAAAGAATGAAATAAAACTTTTTCACTTTACAGAACTTATTTTTTAAACTTTTACATAATCTATTAGGTGTAACAGCAAATGGAGCTCCCACAAATATGGGACCTAAAACGATTGCTTTACTTGCTTTATGAAAGGGTCGCCCCTAGTAAGAATATTAAGCGTAAAGGACAATAGCGTCTTGTCATAAAAATTTAACCCAAGCAGGGGAAGCCCATCAAGATTCAATGGATCTAGCAGCAAATTCCTAAAATTTTGTATATATCCAAACCAATTAATCGATGTAAATCAAGATTTTTAGAGCAGGAGGAGACCAATTGCCAAATTATCAGAGGTAAAATCAAGAATGATTGATTGTTCCGTAGTTCCTATTAGGGGAGTACAAAGTAAACCGACAAACCGTACCAACTAGATAATTCGAGTTAAATCGAGAAAAAAAACTCGACTATGATTAGGTTTGATTTGGTTTGGTGTTTATAAAAAAAACCCGACCATAATTGGTTTGGTTTGGTTTTAACTAAAGAAAGTCAAACCGAAACCAAACCAACTCGATATTACATATATAGAAATTTTAGATATATTTAATATATAAATATACTTATTGTGATGTAATTTATAAATATTTCTTATAAAAATTCATAATTTTATCTTTTAAGGTATTATTTCAAGGTTGGACTCAGAACTTTTGAATATTCCAATAAGTTTTATAGCCATTAACATTAGTAAACTAAATAATGCTAACAAAAGCCTAAACCAAAATCAAATCAATACTAATGCTAACAAAAGACATTCAATTCAATACTATGAACGGGAATGTATTGAATATCTATATTTTATTTTGCAATAATTTAGATAAAAATGCATAACCTATTTTTATTTTTTCTTTAACGTTTAGTCATGTAATTAATACTCCCTTATTAGTCTACTTCTTTTACCATGACTTAGTACTCTTAGCTAATGTTTACTTTTATTGTGGCTTTTTAATTAGCAATATTTATATTACATAATTTTATTGTCTTTATTGTTGAATATTTTAGGATAATGTCATGTCTCATATTTTGTATTATTTTCTTGGAAAATACTTTATATAGTTGTATCTTACTAGGATTAAAGAAGTATTTTGAGCACAATTTATATGTTTTGTTCTACGAAAATTTTACCGGGAAAAAAAAACCCATAAAACCCAAGAAAACCCGAGAAAAATCGAGTGTGAAAAACCCGAGTTTTATTGGTTTGGTTTGATCTTTAGATTTAATAGTCCGACATAATTGATTTGATTTGGTAATTGCAAAATTCGAACCAATCCGACCTATGTACACCCCTAGTTCCTATTATAACATTCCATACTCGCACGTCACTCCTTCAAACAGTTAACATTCCGTATAAAATGTTTAACAATTAGATTACTATCAAAATGTTTTTGTTCCAACACTATGTGTGTTATGAAACGTGTTACCCATAAAACCCAAGGTAAACTTCATGCTTTTAATTATTAATATTTCTTAAAAGGTCGTTTTAAGTTTTCCATGTTATCATAAGCTTTTTTGGGGAGGGGACTTGGTTGTGAAGCATTATCTTAAAGACTTGAATCCTGCAAAAGCGTTCTCCAAAAACTTGTAACTTGTTAGTTTTCTTAAGATGTTTCTCGAGGAGTTTTTTTAAACAATTGTTTTGAAAGAATTGGTTTCACGAGAATTCTTACTTCTTGCAATTACCTTTTTTTTCAATCGTTCTGTAGCCAATGGTCTATCGAAAAGACGAAAATAGCCTCTCTGCTCTTCCAGGGTTAGGGGTAAGGCTGCGTACCTTTTACCTTCCCTAGACTCCACTTGTAGAAAACTATTGGGTTTGTTCTTATTGTTGTTGTTCTTGTTGAAGGATTATAATAAGCAGCGGAAGCAATTCCAGTATCAAAATCACATGTAATCTAGACAGCTAGCATAAACGGGATTTCACGGGTTACCTCTTGAAGCGTGAACAAAGATCCTCTATCACGTGAGCCTTCAATTCCATAACTTTTCAATGGAATCTCCAGCACCCGCACAATCGTGATCCTCGAACGTTCCACGGTCTTCTACTGTGTTACCCAAATAATATTCGAAAATAGCAATTTCATGTGGGCGAAATTTTTCTAGGAAAAAGGCTGAAAATTTCGGCCCCCTTTTTTCCCCCTCATCTAGGTGGAAAACTTTATGTATTTATAGCACAAGTTTTAGGGTTAAAACCCTTTTCCAAAACCTGTTAGGTTTTCTTTTCTACCAGAAAAAGGATTCCTTTATTTCCTATTATTCAGGCACAGCAGGGACCACAAAATTTAATTAACAAGGCTTCCAATTATGGAATTAATTTATAATTTTCGAAATTAATATCAACCATAATTAATTACGAATTATTCCACTAAAAATTCGTAATTGCACTCCTTATTCAATTTCGAAATTCATCCATTAAATCTTATTTAACTCCCCATGTTAAGATTCAGATACTAATCAATTAAATTAAATTACTGACAATTTAATTTATTGATTATTTCCTTTAGACTTTCGCTTAACTTATTTCATGTGTCGGATACAAAATCTACCGGTCGGGTTTACACATGAAAACTTATAAGCTTTCATAAAGGAGTATCATCAATCTCTAATCCGAGACATGGATTCCATCAACTAACTATTATTTTGCCAATGTACATTATTATTATCCAATTTACCAGGCATATTGACCCACGAAAGAATTTCGCCTTTTAATAAATCAAAATAATAATAATAATGTACACAACTAATAATAATTATATCAAAATTAAGAGTATAAGTACATTTGATGGCTAGAGAGTTTATTTTATTAAGTCGGTATAAAATACTTATCTCTACTTGGTCCATTCAATACATACAAAATATACTAGCACAAGGAGTTGGAATTAAACCATTCTCATAATCAAGATAAATTATATTTAATCTTTTGCTACAATCATTCCTGATGGTTTGTCCAATTCCATTATTAGATTGAGAACTCAAACTTTATACTTATAAGAACCGATGATTTAATCTTTTGTGTATAAGCTAAACTCTATACACTAAATCATACTATATAAGCAAAGGACACAGACTAAATATATGATCTATTTAAAACTTTATTAAAACTGAATAAACAGTTGTTTCATAAGTACTAAATATTATATCTAAACCAAACTCATGGTTAATAGTATATATCCCAACAATCTCTCACTTAGACTTTTAACCATGACAATTATTATAATATACTATATTCAAATGCATGGTTAATAGTATATGCTCCAATAATCTCCCACTTAGACTCACAACCATGCATCTACAACTTTCACAGGCATTCTTTTACATGACTATTAAAAGTCTTCACCAAATAAGGTTTTGTTAAAGAATCTTGCCAAGTTATATCTGATGCAATATTTGTCAAGTAGTGCTTTGTCGTAACTATCTAGTTTGGTATTAAACTCTTCAGGGATCCTGTTACCGAAACTATCTCAAGAGTGTGCACCGAACTATAATTTTCTTTAGCATTCTCCCACTACGACGAAGTACTACTAATATTACCTCATTATCTTACGACATTGAAATATTAGTGACTTCTACTATGGTGTTCACTGTTCAAACATCACTCCCACTCGATAAAGGCATATCATGTCTATTAACG